ATCCACCCACCTCAGCCTCCCAAAGTGCTGAGATTACAGGCATGAGCCACCGCGCCTGGCCACCAGCCCTGTCTTTAAAAAAAAAAAAAAAAAAAATTAGGCCAGGCGCACTGAGCCAAGATCGTGCCACTGCACTCCAGCTTGGCGAGACAGTGAGACTCCGTCTAAAAAAAAACAAAACAAAACAAAGAAAATTACATTATAAAAAATCCCCCTTATTTTTTAGGGTAGTGAAACCATTCTGTATGATACTGTAATGATAGATGGATGTCATTATATATTACACAAAACTCACAGAATGTACAACACAAAGAATGAATTCTAATATAAACCATGGGCTTGAGTTAATATATCAATATTGGCTTATTGATTGAAACAAATGTACCACACTAATGCAAGATGTTAGTAAGGAAAACTGAGGGTGGGGTGAAGGGGCATATGGAAACTCTCTGTACTTTGCACTCACTTCTTCATTAACCTAAAACTGGTCTAAAACTAAGGCTCTTTAATTAAAAAAATCATAAGGAACTAAGAAAAAATATCTCCTTTATAAGACTAAAGTCCCATAGGTCCATCCCCTCATATTTAATAGATTTTTTTTCCCTCTTGGGAAAGGAGATAGACATAACCCAGGGTTAGACTGTAAACCTGTAGACGGTTTGGAGAGAACTGACATCTTAATATTATTAAGTTTACCAATCTATAAACACGGTATATCTCCACATTGCTTTAAGTCTTTTAATTATCCCATCAATATTTTGTAGTTTTGTTGTTGTTGTTGTTAAATGAATCCCTAAGTATTGTGGCTTCTTCCTCTGCTATAGCAAATTAAAATGTTTTTTAACTTCATATTTCAAGTTTTTGCTTCCAATATATAAAATAGAATTATTTTGATATTAACTTCATATGCTGTGAACTTGCCAAATGTGCTTACTAGTTCTAGAATTTCCATGTTATTCCTTTTTATTATTTATTCACTGACACTTCCTGTCGTTGTATGCATTATAAACATTTAGACTCTTTAGTATAGTTATAATAGCTATTACAATAGCTTTGTGTGTGTGTGAGGCCCCAGTGTGTGTGTGAGGCCTCATGCAGTGGTGAGAACACAGCTCATTGTAGCTTTGATCTCCCGAGCTCTAGCTATCCTCCCACCTCAGCCTCCAGAGTAGCTGGGACTATAGGTGCGTATCACCAAGCTGGGCTTTTTTTTTTTTTTTTTT